TGATTTAAATCTATACAAACAAGGATAAAATGAGCTATAAAACCAAATAAAAAAATCAAAAATAAGGTTAAATATGTAAACAAAACTACAAATATCCCAAAAGATATCATACAAAGATTTAAAACTATAATCGTACATCCAAGTATAAATATTTTACTATTCATCAAAATTTTCAAAACTGTGTTCACTGGACTATAATTACCAAAGGCCAATACCTCATATTCTTCAACAACTAATATGCTTGAATTAGTTATTTTATGTTCATAATCTTACCACTGACTAATCCAATGAGAAAATCTCATGCATAAATCTGATTTTCCAAAACAAGGTCCGCATAATTCATCATTCCAAATAGCCTTATCTTTTTTTCCAATTTTTACCCTGCTTAATACTGGATTTGATTGATCAGTAAATGAAAAAATAAAACTATTTGAAGTTTCATTAAAGTATGGTGTCTTATTTACTTTAAAGTATTGTACTATGTTAAAACCGAAATACAAAATGAGCATATTAATAAATTTAAAAATTTCACAAAAGTTTCCAACAGTTTTACGTCCTTGCTCACTTTATTTTCAAAGAGCTTTATCAGAACGATGGAGAGATCAAAAACATGGCATTTATATTATTACAAAACCAAATATTCATCCTAATATTTTTGCATCAATTCTTTAGTAAGGGTTATATCATTTGATATATCTATTAATTTAATTTTAAAAGTACATTTTTTTACTAAAGAATTAATTTTTAAGCCATATTTACACAGGAAAAAATATTTGCCACACCCACACATCAGGAGAAGATTCTTTAAATATATTAATCGCTTCTGATGAACTTGAACTTCTTGATCTTGCAGAATGTGCACAAATACACTTAATTAATAAGTGTTCACCATGGTTATTCTCTAATCTTGTAACGTCATTCAATATTATTTGCCGTTATAGTCATTTTAATGAATTATACAATTATGTCCTAAATTTTATATTTAGAAATCCTTATTCTCTTTTCGATTCAGCTGACCTTCATTTATTAGATGAATTAGCCTTGAAATGTCTTTTAGAAAGTGATGATCTTGAGCTTGAGGAAATAGAAATTTGGAATTGTTTGATTAAATGGGGTATTTCTAAACTTGATGAAAATATTGCAAATTGGTCTGATGAAAATATCAAAGAATGGTCAGAAGATCATTTCAATACATTAAAAGAAACTATCATTAATTGTATTCCCTTAATTCGTTATTATTATATTCCTAAATATTATATTAAAAACCAAATTAAGCGTTATCACTTGGATTCTAATATATTTATTAAATCCAAAACTCCTCCAAGAAGATGTTCTAGATTAATCACCAACAAGAATAAAGCTATAATCTCAAGCTGGATTAATAAAAAAGACAAAGATTATTATAATTGTCTTACAGATCCTTATAAGGTTAAACTTTTATTACGTG